CCCGCCCCTCCCCCCCCCGATAAATCTCTCTTCTTCTGCCAAAGCGGCTATAAGCCCTGGGGGGGGGGAGCTCACATTGGTGCTGAGAAAGCCACATTGTGGTTTAGGTTTGTTCTTTATTTTTCTGACACATTTTAAATTACATACTGTTTGTTTCTAAAAGATATCAGTAAGAGACACATGGCACAGCTTAGGAAAATCGTTTTGGAAGAATTACCTCAGAAATTGCTTAGAAGGAATGGTTTGGAGTTCGCATCAATTAATTTCCACCCTTCCACATGGAAGCAAGGCAGGCTGAGGGCGGAATTTAACATATGGGACCCTTGATATGTTGATTAGTTTTAAATGTCTTTACTGCTGTGATTTCCTTCCTGCTTGAAACAAATGGTCCATACTTCTATTTAAGACAATTGAAGAGCTGGAAAAAGAAATGTTGAATGGGCAAAAGCTACAGGGACCCCAAACATCAGCTGAGGTCTACAAAATCCTGAAGCAGAAGAAAATGGTTGACAGGTAAGTCACTTTAATGTTAGCGGTTTAGACATTAATGGCTGTGTGTTGTTACAGTGGTAACTCGCTTAATGGGTGCTCTGATGACGAAATCGCTAGATGTCAATGTTTCAGTGGTGCCTCCCTTAATTTTCGCTCTGATGACAAAATTGCTAGATGTCGATGTTTTTGCAATCGCAAAAGCAATCACGAAAGGATGTTCCCTATGGGGGAATTTCGCTTTGTGATGATTGGTTCCCTGCTTCGGGAACCGAACATCGCGAAGCGATGATTTTCGGCCAGCTGATTGGCGGTTTCAAAATGACCACTGGGTAAACAAAATGGCTGCCCACTCTTTTCTGGCACGGATTCCTCACTGCACAGGCAGCGAAAATGGCCGCACTATGGAGGATCTTCACTGGACGATGAGTTTCAAGCCCCTAGGAACGCATTAGTCAGGTTTTAATGCGTTTCTATTGGCTTTTAAAAATCGCATTACGACATTTTTGTTTTACAGAGATTTCGCTGGAACGAATTAATGTTGTAATGCGAGGCACCACTGTATTTTGAGGGAATGCACATTTCCACTCTTACACAATCTGTATACTCACTGCTTTACATTGTAGCCAAGTGTCATTTCTTCACATGAAAAGATATACTAAAATATTTATGAAATGTGAGGGGGTGTACTTACTTCTGTGATATACTGTGTGTCACTTGGCATACAACTAGGGATTCAGTTGGGGACTGTTAACTCACTGCTCTGGTTCATGCACTTGCATTTATACTGGTGTAAATATTCATTTGAAATCCTGGGGTCCTTATTCTTCGAATCAAAGTTTACCTATATTATTTCTTAGAATGACTGAATCCAGACTTTTTACCTAAAAGAGCTCCTCAGTATTAAGCTGGCAAACTTGGTAGATTGGTTAAGCAAGTGGGAGGCATTAGATGGCCCATTGATTGCATGTAGTCCTACCCAGAGCATTTTTAAATTCTCAAGTCCCCATCCCAAAGTAATGAATTTTTTAAATCCAAAAATGGTTAGTTTCCGCTCCTGGTACTTCCAGAAGCAACACTTTTTAAAACATGAAACTGCTCTCCAAGATTTAAAACAAACAAACAACCAAACCCAGTAGTTCCACCATCTAGGTACTTCCTGTTTATATATATTCCCTTTAAAATGGCTCAAGGCTCTGTGTAAGCTGTGGAGGGGACCGAAGGCACAGATTTGCCCTTGAACTTACCCACCCCTGCTATACAAGAAATACTTCAGCAATGGCAAACCTATGGCACTTGTGCTACAGCTGGCAAGCAGAACCCTTTCTGCAGGCACACGAGCCATAAGTTGCCACATCTCTACTCCCCCCCGCCCGCGCAGCCAAACCTGAGAAGGTGGCTGCAGTTGCAGTGCTGGTGCTTTGACAGGTGGATCCAGAGCAGCTGGCACTGGTGGTGGATCTGGAGTGGGGTCTTGAAGCACATCCATGCCCGGGATTCCCCCTTCTGCCACGGCATGCCACCTGCTGGGTTTTTATTTTTGTTTTTTCATCTGCCACGGCATGCCGCCTGCTGGGTTTTTATTTTTGTTTTTTCAGTTTGGGCACGCAAGCCCAATAAGGTTTGCTGCCACTGCTCTAGATCAATTTCACTGAAGATTTCCTTTAATAACTGAATTTCTGCTAGGTTTCCGCTGTTCGTAAATGTCTACCTGATCTGCTATCAAGGAAAGTCTGTCAAGGAGTTCATCACATGCCTGCAGAATCATCCACACCACATGTAAGATGAGGCTATGGCTTACCCTATACCTCTCTGCTCAAGGCTTCTGGCAGTTTCATTCTGATGAATAAAAGCAAGCAAAACGAGATAATTTTTACCCAGTGTTAACTGAGAGCTACTTTTACAGAAACCACCACGCAAACCATTTTGGTAACTCACTCTCCATTGAGTGAAGCTCAATACAGTATTCTATTGGAGAACTCGGTACTAGGTGAAGATGCGAATTCTACATAGGTTACAGTCCGGATGTCATTTCAAAGCCACTCATTAAAATTATGTCAAAGTGGCAAATATGAAACAGAAGAAAAGCTGTCACATACCTAAAGCTCCCCTGAAAAATGTCTGTCTAACTTTACACTGAAAACCTTCCAAAGAAGAAAATGTAATGGCTTCATGAGGATCTTTATTTAACGGCTAAACTGTTCTAACAATGACTTGAAGAACCACCACTGCAGTCATGTTTTACTGTAGAGGTGGTTCTTCTTTCCTACCTAATTGCCAAAGTTTCCACTTCTTCTGGCCACTTTGTCCTTGGTAGCTACCCCCCGCCCCTCCCAATCAACATCACGGAAGACACATTTAAAATCATCTACACAGTCTTGGATAAAATGTAAATCTGTGAAAGAGAATGCAGTTGTATAGATAGACTATGTAAAATATATTGCACAGAGATTTATAGCATTTTTTGGTTAGGTCAAACTGTCATTAAGGCCATTTAAAACAATGCTGTTCCACATATTATTTCTATTGTGCTGATACATTTTTGTTGCTCAGTTAAATAATTCCATTTTTGGAAAGCAGTGGTAGTTTTTTTCCACACAACAATTGCAACTGTATCTATGAAGTATCTATTTTCTTTCAGGAAGAGAACTAAGATGTTTTGCAAAATAAATTGACAATTCTCCCATTGTTGATAATAGTGTCTTCCAGATACTTTAAAATAATTTGATTGCATATACAAACACCTTATACATAATCCAGCCCTCAAATTCACTCTTAATATGGAAAATAATTCACAATTTACATTCTGAACCAATAGCATACTACAAATAATACATTAGTAATTGCAAGAAAGTTTATTAATCCACAAAGTAATGCTGTAAAAACTTGATATTTGTATTACAGAGCAACATATACTGGCTAAGATTTGCCTCAGCTTCTACAGGCATGGTCCTGGTTCTTACCACAGTAACTGCTTATGCATCTGTATACTTTCAATATATTTCCACAATTGCAGCAAATACCTTATCTTAAATCATGTTGCTAAAATTCTGAAGAATGAAGGGAGATCAATCATGTCAGAGGTCCTTTAGATAAGCAAGGTTTTCACTGTGGGAAAGAACCTAAAATTGGCTCTGCACTTAATAAGCAGAGACTGGAGACAAGACTTTTTATTATATCAGACAGATAAGTCTACATCATTTCACATGAAACACAGTCACTTGAAATACAAGATATGGTAAAACTCAAAGTACGTTAAGTCTAGGTCCAAAGTTTTCCCAAGACTTGAAAAAACAACAGACTAGGAATAGAGAATCTGCACTGGTTTGGACAAACTATTATATCATTTCAAGTAGTTTTGCTTTCAGCATACATGTACTATAACACTGTCTTTTAAGGATACATTGTATATTAAAAATAAACACCTTTACTAAAAAAAAGTCTCAAATGTAATTTCATTTATCTAACTGTATGCAGCATTTGAGAGACTACCGCATAAAAAGGGGTGGGGAGCAGGCACGTCTCATCAAGATGCCTCATCAGGAGAAAGACTTTGCCTGGTCTAGAACAGCTGGCAAGATGCCACATGGGGGGAACTGTTAATAATGTGCCCATCCAAGAAGAAAACTGGCCGCAGTGTTCTTTTGTTCATAAGAGTATCGGCTGTCATCTAGAGTTCTACATAATGTAGAACTTACAACAATGAACTGATTATTTCTGTTTTGAAATGAGAGATGTATCATTTTGAAACAGATTACAGAAGAATGGGTTCCTACTGTTTCTGTTCTAAGCCCAAGGGATTTTTGATGAAATATTCAATTTCACAGCTAATCTTGAAGTTTCAAACAAAACCAAAGAACAAAGTATCTGACACCAAGACAGATAGCTTTATGAAACTGTTCCTTCCACCATGAAATGCATTTTTTCCCTATTGCACTGCCAGAGGTTCAATCTGTGTAAAACACTTCCTTCTTTAACTTAAGACACAATGCAACAATTTTATTTTATGAATCCTTTAGACATCTGCTCCCAGAGGATCCCACTCATGGCACCTCCTTGGAATCTAACCAACTATTTTTAAAAAATTATACAGAACCAGTTAAGATATGGAAAACATGGACAACACTGGTAGACTCTGCCTTTTCCCCAGCATGTCTGCTGATGGAATCACTCTGTAAAATAGAGCTGACAAAAGGGAATTTCGCTGTTCTAATAGAATTCATCTTATTCATGAAGAAGGGAAGTGGGCAATTTAGATTTAACCTTCAAGGATTTAGCTAAACACAAAAAGCAATGCTAGTTCTATGGGCTGAGAGTCCAACTCTTAGCAGCATGTTTCAGGTGTAACTAATACCTGGGATTAAAGCAAGTGCAATTTTACTCAACAAGATGTACTGAAAAAACTAGTGTTTCATACAGACAAATGTTCTCTCAATACAATTGAGATTCTCATTATGGTCAGAAATAAATTACACCCGAGGGTTTGTAAAGATTATTTTTTGTGATGAAGCCTCCCATAATCCTTAGCCAGAATGGGAACTAGACACAGTGGCTGAGAGATTTCCAAAGCCAAATTTAAAAAGGGGGTTTAAAGCTTGTTACAGGAACTTTTCCAGTAAATTCCATTTCACTAAATTCTAGCCAGTTCTTCATTCTACTAATAATAGATATTAGTAGTTCTATCAGCCAAGAATCTAATGAATAAAAGGAGGAGGGAGTTCTACTGATATTAGTAGTTCTATCAGCCAAGAATCGAATGAATAAAAGGAGGAGGGAGTTCTACTTCTTTAACAACAAAAATCTATACATTATTATAAATAAATACTTACATATAAAATTAGCCAAAAGGTTGATACAGTGCAATTGTTTTATATCATGACAAACAAGACAAAAAGTTCAAGTATATAAAAGCATCATTACAAGATGCTATTTAAGTCCTATTATTGCACAGATGAAAAAATACAGTTTCTACTGTCAATTTTGTGGAATAGCTTCACATTTGTCAATGAGATGTAAACCTACTGAAATGGTTAATTTTTATTCCTCATTCAAGATGTAGTCATTTAATAAATTCCTTAAACCTGTATCTTATTGCTATTTCTGTGACTTCTATTTCTCCCTTACTTAAGGCTATCACAGAACATATAAGATAATAAGCATATTTATCCAGTGTGCATAAATATGCCTTCAAAGCTGAGCAAATTCCATCTCACATTCCTCAGTCAACTTTCTTGTGTTTTTGGGTTTAGATGCAGTTAACTGATTTTGGCTATTTGGCAGAAAATATCTTTCTAATAGCAAGGTTAATTTTAAGAGATAAAACATCTAGCAGGCACTATTAAAGACTTTCCTTCAAAGAGGCAGTACTCTCTTCATTAATAGAAAAAAAATATTCATACTCTATTGAAAGTACGTGGGACGTGGTGGCGCTGTGGGCTAAACCGCAGAAGCCTGTGCTGCAGGGTCAGAAGACCAAGCAGTCGTAAGATCGAATCCACGCGACGGAGTGAGTGCCCGTCGCTTCTCCCAGCTCCCGCCAACCTAGCGGTTCGAAAGCATGCAAATGCGAGTAGATAAATAGGTACCATCTCGGTGGGAAGGTAAACAGCGCTCCGTGTCTAAATCACACTGGCCATGTGACCACGGAAAAGATTGTCTTCGGACAAACGCTGGCTCTATGGCTTGAAGAGCGGGATGAGCGCCGCCCCCTAGAGTCGGACACGACTAGAGGCGGTATTCTCTTCATTAATAGAAAAAAATATTCATACTCTATTGAAAGTTCGAATGCCACCACACTGTTAACCCTGCTTCTGCTGTACACAGGGAGAACTAAGATAAAGGATTCAGATTAAAAAATAGTTTTTTAAAGGGAGACTGATACTCCAGCATTCCTAACAATTACAGCTTTCAGTGCATCAGAATAACAGGACTAGATACAATTCCACCAGTCTAAAGACTAATTTGTTCCATTAAAGTGGAGGAAGAAATTGTAACTATGGTCCCTGAGGTTTCTCCATCATCTAGGGAACTGATTCTTCATCTGTCAAATTGCTCAGTGACTCATATAACCACATTAAATGGTGGCATAGCCACTAACCTGCATGCTCTAAGAAGCATATAATATTTTCATACATCCAGCATAATTAAGTTCAGTTGTTCTTTTATCCATGAACAACAAAACAAGGTTCCTTGGTAATTAAATTCACTGTTTGGCCCCAAAAGAATCAATATACCTGTGATATTTGTTCACTTGCTCTTACCATTACTTCTCTCTAAAATCTTGTCATCTCCAACTTATTTATGAGATTTGTCATAAAATATCACTTGCAAAATTTATGAGATTTGTTATAATTTCAGACCTTTTTGCCAGTCAAGCTGAGAGTTAAGTGAAGGAAATCTGTATGCTTGAATATTACTGAATTTTGGAGCAGCCTGAGGGTAACAATAATGCCCTCAAATGAACATCAACTGAATTTCTTCAAAATGCCTTCTGAGAAATGAAATACATGTAGCCTCATCTAAGGGATGTTTACTCGAACGAAAGTTCAATTCTAAGCAAAAATGCCTAGGATTGTAGTCAATAAATTAGGAATTATGACAGAACATTTTGACTTAGCATTCTTCCATGTGGAGTGAAAAATACTCAAGATTTCATTATTTAGATATATCAAAAGTGCATGGTGTGCATCTATTGAGATGTTCCATTGTAATTGCAGCAACAGAGACTTGACAGGAAAAATATTGTCAAATTACCACGGTACAGAACAGCTCTGAAGATATCCCAAATTGGTACCAAAGGTTAGCTTTTTGTTTAACTCCATAAAGCACTATTAGACTTAAATTATTAGCAGCAATGGCAAATGAGTCTCATGGCTTCTGACTACAGGAAACTGAGGTATATCTCTGTCTAAGGATACCAAAACTCCTACTACTAGTCTCACAGAGAATTGTGCATAACAGAAGTGCTGCAAACCAGTGGCAACAGATGACATAATATTGACAAATCTGTACCCCAAATTTGTTACCAATGCGAATATTAAACTTTTAGTTAACACTGGCACTTATTGAAATGAAGTTGTAAACTTTGCCTCTCTTGGTCTAGAAGATGTTGTCCAGCACCTTCCAGTTTGCAATCAGCTGGGCTACCTGCCCCAAGGCAGAGATATGACTGCTCTTCCAGGTAGCTGCCTTCAAGTTGTATTTAGGTACAGCATACTCTATATGCATGGACAATGGCTGCAAGGGTGAGCTGGCAGTGTGTTTTAACTCCATGCACACAGAAGGAATCCTGCTAGTAGTGGAAGCAAGTTCACCATCAATAGCCATAGAGTTACTACCAGGCTGGGAGAACAGGAACACAAATCTAAAAAAAATAAATAAATCATATTAACACATGGAAAATAGTGCAGTACTGTAGTCTCTGAATATATTAAAAATAATACTATACAAATATTTTTCAGAAGTCTAGCCATCCATTCACCATTCCACCAAATTAAAGTGGAGGGGGAAATTAGTTGAGGTGTTCAGCACAAATAGGATGGTTGAGTAAGTATAGCTGATTTTTGGACTTTGCTTTTGAGGATTCAGCTCTTCTCCATTGCAATGTTTATAGGAGTGAAGAAAAACTTTGTTAGTTTTGTTGCTATTATCAACATTTTCAACAGGCCATTTAGAAGAACAGGGAAAAGTGAAGCCCAACAAGGCTGTTAATCTAGTTCACTGAACTGGGCTAATGAACTGTTATACTTGTTTTACTTACCTATAGATGCAACTCTTGTTAAATTAGCAACTGGAGGGGGATCCTGCTCAGGTGGACAAAAATCACAGAAATCTGAGCATGTTGGGCAAATTAGGTTCCCGACATGAACCCATCCATTCATCTGAATGTTCACTGTCAGAATTTGGCCTGAGTGACTGCACAAATATGCCGCGTCCTTGACCCAAACAATCAGCCCACGGGGAGTACAGGAAACCTAAGAAATAAAGTTAGACTGAGTATGATTAGAAAGTAGACTACACTTAATTATAGTAAGTATTTTAGAGATTTCCAACATACACAGTATCTTGACCTGTTTCCGAGATGTGTGAGATAGTTAAGGAGCAGTTTTATCATGGCCACTGCCCAATCTCATGTATTTCTATGACTGAACGGGGATTTGAACACAGCTTGCCTAAGCCCTAGTCCATCACTCTATCCACCACACCGACTCTCAAAGTAATAGAAAGTAGGTTATAAACATAACAGTAAGTGGATACCAGAAGCAGGTTTGATAAGTTACAAGCTTAACTAGCTTCACTTTTTAGTTTAGTTTCTCTTTTTAGTTTCTCATCTGAGGAAGTGGACTTGTCCACTAAAGCTATTATTTAAAATATGTTTCCCCTGCTTTTCTCCTTGAAAGGGCCCAAGGCAGCTTTAAAGTGCCACAATGTTTTTGTATTCTTTATTTTTTATTTTGCTTTTGTTTTTGCTTGATAGGCAACATGGCTTCCTTTTCTAAAATTTTTTTTGATAAGTAAACATTCTCATTATCAGAGAACTAGTGACTATGCTTGTGCACTCTCCGATAAACTTATAATTACTAGCATATCTTCTGTGCATGAACTTTATGCCAGTATTAAAGTACTTTCATCCTAATGATTTCTAAGTGATTGTATCCAAGTATCTAAGATAGATGTGTTCATCTTCTTTACCTCAAATATTCATATCGCTATCAGGTTCCAAGTTTCAGTGTTCCTATCAAATGGTACCTGCAATCTGCACTGGGGAAAATAAAGAGGCAGTAAAGACTGCGGAAGCAGTGGCACCTAGCAAGAAGTCTGGGGTGCTGAAAAGTAGCAAGAACTGTTTCAAGTCATTTAGTTCATATTTCAAGACTGCTTTTTTTCCTGCAGTAAATAGGAGGAAATCAGTATTTTAAATACAGAACATCTGCAGTTACCTGGTAGCATCCACTACCCCAGTCAGGATAACTGAGTTTCTTCCTGCATTGCTCCATAACAAAAGCTGATTTCTGAATGAGACAAATAGAATTTGGTCCATATTTTTCTGCACCATAATTTTTGAAAGGATCTAAAGAAAACAAATGCAGGTTTCAATTAAGCACTGTGTGGTTAGGTAAACAGCCAAGGTTTCAGAAATTGCTACAAAATTCAGTCAACGGTCAAATAGTTTTCTAACACTGCCTGTCAACTTTTTAGTATACTTGAATGATTTGTAAGAATACTTGCATGATTTGTCAGTGGTAAACTGCATGGACAAGTCTGCTGTTCTGTTCTAATATTAATTTTTCATATGGTCAGCCATGACATCAACCGTTAAGTGTGAATATATCCAGTCTATATTAAAAATAGTTGACTGTCGTTGTTATGTTCTCTCACAGCTGATCAGCTGTGCAAAGAAATGAGCAAACAGGATATTTTTTAAAACATACACTACAGGGCAGCAAACAATGGCAATGAATTTGTCACTATTGTCCGTAAATTCAGATGTAACAGGAGACTGTTGTAAACACAAAACATGATTTGCTGATAATTCTAAGGCAATTTCAGAGCCTAGTTTGTCAGCTCCTAACAAGTCTGTTTTGTGAGTAGGCTTGAGTGAAAGCATAGTTTATTTGAATAAATTATATTTTCTTATTCGAAGCAAAAATTCCCAAGCGCTATCGAAAGAGGAGCCAAATACAAAACCCCACTGACCTGGTTGATTCTCCAATATTCTACAATCTGAACTGCGCTGAAATTCACCACTTAAGTGCCAGCTAAATTCCTGACTGAAAGGACAGTAGTCAGCAATTTCAACTGACCCACCATAATATGGCAGATCTTCTGAGGATACTCCGTACAAACTGTCAAAGTACTATGAAAAGAAAAAGTGCAAAAGGTGATTACAAAACCAAGAACACAGTTACGTCAATACTGTGATGAGAGTAAGGACAGAGTATGTCCCCAATAGCAAAAACCCACATTCATACACATATGAAGGTGTTTAAGAGAGAACACCAGCGCTCCAAGCTACAATTGCTACTGCTATTTTAATCTGATATATAGCACCAGAAATATTAATAGATATTGCATGGAAATTTTAAAGTGTCTCTTCACATACATTAGCTTGTGCTAGTGAAGTGCTGCACTTGGTAAGAGAGTCAGATTCATCTTATTTCAATTTAGGTATCACATATACCAATTTTAATGTAGAACAAATGAGAAGGGTGAAATGTGCATATCCAACTCCCCAGTGATTACTAGGTTTTTATGATGCTGTCTTCTCAATTTACCAACTTTCTGCCTATTTCTCTGCAGTGCAAAATGCATCTAGAAACAATCTTTTTCTAACCATAATAAATGTTTTGAAATGCGACTTCATGATGTCAAAAAGGAGTGGAGATACAACAGCAACTATTAATATAATTACATGCTGTTAAATCACTTTTGACTAAAACAACCCTTCCTAGGTACAAAATACTCAGAAGTGTATTAACGGTCATTTTTTATGGTGGCATGGCATGTAAACCCACCAGCCATGCCTGCTCTGGCTGGTCTCAGATGGCTCATCTCCTAGGGAGTACAATGGAAATCTCAACTTCTGGTTCCCAGCCAGATATTCCAAACCAATAAGGTGTACCCTGTATATTAAGATGAGGTACAACTACTTACTGGCAAACTGGCTAGGTTCAGACATAAAGCTAAACCAGGGCACTACAGGGTTTTGTCCCCCACTTTTAATGCGATGGTACAGCTGACAGAAGGATAACAAAAGCTTCTGCTTCTATTTTAGCTTAATTGCTTGTAAGGCTGGGAGTATCCTGAGGCGCACTCCTCAGAGTATGCCATCCACCTGCTCGAGTGAAGATACAGTGGGAAAGATGACTGGCCTGGAAGAGACTTTAAAAGGACTATGCTTAAGGGAGGAGGAACAGACAGATTCAGAAAAGGGACCAACGGAGGGAGAAATAAAAGGAGTAGGGAGCAGTTAGGAGTCAGGAGAGGCACAGGCATGTTGGGCGACAGAGGAAAAAGTTAACGGGAGAAACATTGGGTAGAAATAGTGGAAGGAGGTCCATGAACTGGGGAAATAACTGAGTTTAAAGTACCTAGTGAATATGCGGAGAAGGAATGGAAAAGGAAGGTATATCGCAAAACACCTCACTGGGGTGAAACTGAGGAAAGAGAACAGCAGACGAAATTCAGAGAGTGGCAGAAAAGAGAGGCCCAGAGATGCGAGAATCGGGCATGTTCCAAAAATCCTGGGAGGCCCCATGGAGCGAGTCCCTTCAGACCCAAATTATGACTGAACATAGGCAAGAAGGTTTGGGAGCCTCAGGCATAATGGATTTTTCACCGTCACCAGTAAAGTACTATTTTAAACAAAGAGTCAGGAAATTCCACGCAAGTGGCAGTATAAAGAGTTCAGTTCAATGCCTCTGCCTGTTCAGAGGGACTTGTTGTGGTTTGATAAGGCAGCTGAAAGGAGGCCTCTGAAGCAAGAGGTGGAGTCTGTTACCAATATGAAAAAATAACAAGTTGTCCAAAATAAAAGAACCTTTGTTAAAAATGCATGGTGCTTAAGAGTCACCTATGGAAGGCAAGACAGCAAAGGAAGAAGAGGGGACTGGACCCGATCACATTGCTGTTTATCATATTATCTGAATCCTAATCGTGGTTAATCGTCTAGTGCTCGTGAGACCAAATCAGTTTCATAACCCATGGTTTGAAGTGGATTATGTTTCCACAAACCTTGGCTAAGATTAACCACCCTTCATTATATGCTAGTTGGCATGACAAGCTATAGTTAATCTAACATGGAAACAAGTTCAGAAAGTTCATAAGCCAGAGGCATATTCATGTAATACTTTCATGCTGGTAGGAGAAAGGTGTAAACAAGCAATTTATGCAAATTATACCTGATATTCCTGAGGAAGCTGCTGAGGGAATTTCTGTAAATTGCACACTGCTACAGCTCTGTGGTCCTGCCTGCAAGTTAGCTGCAATGGATTACTCCGCAGAGTATCACAATAAGGGTCCACTACTTCTTTCCTTTAAATAAAGTTACAAGCAAGAGCAACAGAATTGTTCAGGTTTTATACAGACCAGTGACTGTTCTTCAATACTAATAATGCAACCATTAGAATGTTAGTGCAGTTTAACTGCAATCACAGAAAATGCATTGCATAGAAAAGCACTCTTACTTTCTTCGCCTGCGGTCAATCCAAAATTTGCAGCTTTTCATCACAAAATCACAGCCTTTACCTCGGCCCCAGACTAGTTGTTCTGCCATGCTATAATTGGCTTTATACCAGCTGCAAAGATATATTAAAACAGGAATGCTGTTACTCAGTTTGTACTTCTGCACAGTTGGCCAAACATCATTTCAAATATCTTGAACATATGTTTACACTCGTTATGGAAACTACCCATTATAAACTAAGATCCAGGTAGCCAGGTTTAAATAATTTTAAAAGTATTTCTACAAACTGAAATCTATATTATGATCCCCAAGACCCTTTCCCTACAATTCGTTTGGCTTATATAGTATGTATAATATGATGGAGAACCGAATCATCATCATAATCTTGTGCCTTTGCTGAAAATGTAGACTGCTCATCATCATGTAGACAGGGAAGAAGGAGAACTGAAACAGCTAATATTAAAGCCACCCCTTGTCAGATCAGGTTAATCCAATTAGCTACAGTGGGGTCTTGACTTAAGAACGGCTTGAGTTAAGAACATACTGACTTGACTTACATACTTAGATTTGAGTTAAGAACTGAAAAAAAACCACGTGGGAGGCAGGGAAAGTGCAAAATGTGAACTTTCAGTTAACTGTTGGCCAGTGAAAAGGGTGCCTGTCTGCTTCCTCACTCCTCCCAGCGTTTAGAGAGTGGATTGGGAGACAGTCTTCAGACTGCCTGGTACTGTACTGCCTGGATTGTATTTTCCCTGCCTTCCCTGAACCTTTCTTGACATAAGAAAAAAAAAGAAACAAAATATCCCTCTCTAGTGGTCAAAGGCGGAATAGCAGCTTCCCATTAGTTTCTATGGACGGAAAAGAGCAGATACGGATCAAATGGTTTTCAATGCATTCCTATGGGAAATGCAGATTTGACCTGAGAACTTTTTGACTTGAGAACTGCCTTCCAATACGGATTAAGTTCTCAAGTCAAGACCCCACTGTATCTGACTAGCTATTGCCAGCCTTCCCTATTTTCCACTGTGCTAATGCAGCAGTAGAGGAAAACCCATGAAATTTATGATTGCCTAAGGAATATCTCCTACCAATCTTTTACCTAATTATTGTATATAGTACAACAAATAAATAAAAGACACAAGTATAAAAAGGGAAAAGTTTTGCTTTCAGATCTACTTTATAATTTAGCCCATTGGACTCTAGGAATATGATTTTCAGCTATATTAAAAGTAGCTCATACAAATAAAGCTACCATATAAACCCAGGAACAAAATCTTTAGGCAAAACCTTACATAAAACTTTAATATTTACAAGAAAAAGGGATGCAATCACATTGATGAACTTTATATGCAAAAGTCATGCTATGACTAAATTGTAGCATTTAGAGAATAGCTCAAATATTTCCAAAAACATACATTCCTGATCACTTAAGGTTTCTCCCAAAGAAGTTATATTTAATAGAAAATGCTTAAGGTTCTCCAGCTTAACTACAAATTCTTACCCAGTATCCTCCATTAATGCCAAAGTGATACGTGAAAAGACCCTGTTCTGGGTGTGTGATCCAGTCATTGCTTCATTCTGAAAGTAACCACCGAAAAGTGTTAGTTTCAGGAAACAAACAAGACTCCGAATAAATAATCTTCCCTGGGACTGGGCAAAGGAATGTCCCCCTTTTGGTGAAAATACTTAGGGAAGAATGCTGTTTGCTTCCTTTGCTTGTGCGGTGTGACACTGTGTGGACAGTTCCGGAACCTGAAGAAGGACGTATGATGTATCTCGCTGCACAAGTAAAAGCCCTCATTCTAGTGGGGGATGATCTCCAGCCTGCACAATGACATGCTGGTCGCCGCATACAACTCCATAGGCAGAGCATTACAATCAACTGGATTCTGCCTTCAATGTATTAGACCCATTTCAGTTTGTAGCAAGAGTTATTCCATGTGCAGAATCAGGTGTCTGGAGATTCAGAAGCTGCCGAGGCATGACCACATGTAGCCTGAAACTCAAGGCTTCTCTGAGCACACATCTGATGTTTTATTTAAAAATTCTAGCAAGAAATGATTGGACGCATTTAAAAAGTGGTGATAAACTAGTCCTTGAAAAACAGACTGTGGTTTCCAATAGAGAGAAAATATAAAGTCCCTATGCCTGCTACTCTTACAAAGTTATTTGTAGTGTTCCTTCTCCCATCAAAGCAGTTTTATATAATTCTTTATTGTGCAACTTTTCAGTGTATTTATTATTTCCATTACTATACTGCCCCGTTAGACTAAAGCAGTAACAAGCTCTGGCAGAAAAATATAAAATAGAAGTCTGAAAACAACAAGGGAAAGAGCTTTCTAAGATCACTACAATCTATATGGCAGGTTAAAATAATTTTAAAAGTAGCTAAACAAACCTCCAATAACCGCTTCTCCCAGTGATTGAGCTCTGTGCCCATGCCACCTTGATTTTCAAGTTCCATGCCTTCTAGGATTGGACAATCAAAATGTTTTCGGGCCTCCGCCTTTACAAAGATACATTAGACAACTCTCAGGATGCACATTTCAAAATGAAAGCTAAAATATTTAATCCTTACACATGTTTTTTCTTTAGAAAGCAAAATCTCTAATGAAAATGCTCTCCGTATGTTTGGGGTGGGTGGGAAAGAAGATGGATCACTTCACATTCATAATACTCAAGAATAATTGAAAGTGGGGTGTCAAAATTTAAGAGACAGCCTAATCCCCAGTCTACTCTTTCAGGATTCTGTAAGACAAAAATAGAATATCTTTGGTCTGAATCTCGCCAGTGATTATTTCTTTCCAAGCCTCTTCCTTCTCCCACCACTAACTATTACATGGTGGGAACAGAAATCGCAAAGCTATGTCCAAGCACTGATGGGAGATAAGTAAGTATTCCTCTTCACATGCAGCATACCATTGCCATTCAGACGACAAGTGGCAGGTGAACAGAGACACAACTCAGCGTAACAGAGCAAATTGGCAAATATGAGAAGAGTGCCATTCAAATCCCTTTCTCTACTCAAAGCATGGAGTGTAAGAAATAAAATGTGTGTCATGGAAGAGTGAGTAGATCCTGCTCCTGACATCATCTCGTCTTCAGAACTGATCCGTTCACAACTTAAAATAGTCCTAGGTAACTGTGACAGATGTAGCATATAGAGAAATTTATTTCCTTTTAAAGTGAACTGAAATTTCCCTAAAGACAACTTAAGTCCCCAATAAGCCCGAATTTCCCCAATTTTTTTTCCCATCCACCTCTTGGGCTCTCTGCGATATGGACAGCAAACCACCCTGCCTAACAGCAGTCCAGAATGTCAAGCATTTATTTCTGCACTCAGGTCTCCAGGGAGTTCAGTGGCAGGAAAAAGGAAGCATCCATGGGCAGTCTTTGGTCCTCTATTTGTCTTACTAAAAAACAAACTGCACCTCTGTTAAAAAAACAAATAGTATTTTGTGCAGTCAAAGAATATGCAAAAGCTCACCTATGCCTGAGTACGTCGATGATCGAGTTCCCATTTCCTAATACTTTGCAAGGGGCGAACACCTTTATCAGGGAGAGCAATAATTATGCTAAAGGTACCTATTCTCCACTCTGATTGGATCAATAAACAAGAGCCACTCTTCAAGATGGCAGAACACTGCTACTTTCATGCAACTACGTAACTGGGGAGATTGATTATTCTATTATGGAAGGTTTGAAAGTCACACTTACAACTACTTTAGGAGTTATCAGAAGAAATACATGGTGACGAAGAATTCTGTTGCCCCGCACATCCCATAATCTTACAGCGTGACGTACAACATTGCTACTCCATTGATATATACCAAGGCTGAAAGAGAGACAAGCGGATTTGACTAGCAAACAGAATAATTTCTAAATCTCATCAACAGGATGACTGGCAAAGGTTACAGAAAATGTTACTAATGACTGCACAGTACAGTGGTGCCTCGCTTAACGATTACCTCGTTAAATGACGAATCCGCTTTATGATGAGGTTTTTGTGATTGCAATAGCGATCGCCAAACAATGTTCAGATAGGGAAATTTCGCTTCACGATGATCAGTTCCCTGCTTCGGGAACTGATTTTTCGCGAGACAATGATTTTAAAACAACAGATTGGCAGCTCTAAAATGGCCACCCACTGTGCAAAATTGGCTCCCCACTATGCTTTAGGACGGATTCCTCGCTTTACAGGCACCGATAATGGCCGCCCCTATGGAGGATCTTCGCTGGATGCTGAGGTATTTCATCCATTGGAAAGCGTTGAACCAGTTTTCAATGCATTTCAATGGGCTTTTTTGTTTCGCTTCATGAGGATTTCACTTAACAGCGATTTCAACAGAACGAATTATCCTCGTCAAGCGAGGCACCACTGTACATCATAGTAGTCTTTCTAGGAATGAGAGTTCGAAAGAAAAAAATAATGAAGCAAACCTATCAACTGAATCACAAAGGTATTAAAATGCTGACAGAAGAATATTTTTGCAAGTGTTCCTACAATGTCTATCTACTCAATGCAATAATAAACTTTTGTACATCCTACACAGATTTCAATAAATTATGTCTATCTACTCAATGCAATAATAAACTTTTGTACATCCTACACAGATTTCAATATGTTACGTCTATCTACTCAATGCAATAATAAACTTTTGTACATCCTACACAGATTTCAATATATACCTTTCATTAAATGGTGGCAGTCCATTTGCATATCTGGCAGTCAAAGGATTTCCATCATCATCATGATAAAATGCAAATAAACCAGCAGAGAAACCCTTAAAGGTAATCAAAAAGATCATTTACATTATATTATATCAACATGATGACATGTTTGTCCAAAACCCAGAGAAATCCAAACATAGTGAAACATGCATACAAACATCTTGTACAGACAAGCAAAATCTGACTTTATGCCTTTGAACTAAGAAACAAATCAGCAGAGCAAATCCTGCACATTGCTAAGAACATGACACCAATATTCCAGCAGAGCAAATCCTGCAAAGCACATTGCTAAGAACATGACACCAATATTTTAAACTTACATGATTAAATATCAGCTCTTACCAAAGCATGAATGATTTCATGTTTCACTGTAGACAGCATACCAACAAACTCTTGAGCTTGGATTGAAATCATACTTGGACAGAGATTAGCATAGCCTGCAATTGGTCTGGAAAACAGTGAGAGAAGACAGCTAGATAGAATTAAAATTGCACTGATTTAAAAATGTGGCAAGGTTAACCATGACCTGAATTATAGTCTTTTAAAAACAGATTTATTCCACCATGGCAGGAACTGTCCTTTTCATAACATTAACACATTTTAATACATGTTCTTGCTGAGCAACTGGACAAAATTGCAAGAAGTAGGCACAGATTCCTGCCCATTTTGCAAAAAGGAAACAATGCATCTACTTAACATAACTCTCAAAAAGTTCAGCAAGTGGAAGAGGTATTTGTGTAAGTGGATAACCCCATTTTTCCATTGCATGAAATATTTATATGTCCAGATTCTAAAATAAGTAACTCTACAGCAGCATTAGATTTTTTTTCTTTGACAGTTGTTTTTATGCACTAACTTCCCTTTACAAGCCCACATTCTGTAATACCTGCCATAACCCATTTATTATATAAGTAGTAAGTTTTATTGTGCGATCACAGACCTGTTCATACAAAGATAAAATAAATACATAATATAATATAAAACTAAGTAAGTTTTATTGTGCGGTCACAGACCCGTTCATACAAAGATAAAATAAATACACAATATAATATAAAATCTTGCTATAGTGTTTTGTGAGTTCTCATAGCTGAAAATAAAAACTTAGCCACTAACTGTGTAATTATTTGATTCTCTCCAGACAACAGAAACTTCAAATAGCTTGTGGAGGTAGACCAGTACATTTATACACGACTGAACCAAGATATCTAATACGTTCAGTCCTATATAGGCTACATTCTAAAATGATGTGTACCACCTTGCGGAGAAGTATATGTGCCCCCATGAAAATGACCTGTTTGCAGCTTTTATAGACTTAAAGTCTGCCTTTGATTCAATTCTCAGAGAAAATTTATGGGAAAAACTCTATTGACAAAAGGCTTTTATACCTTCTCAGAAGTCTCTATCAGCAATCCACAATTGGGGTAAGATGTGGAGTGGATGGAAATTTGTCAAACCCCATTTGGGTGGAGAGAGGGGGTTCGCCAAAGTTGCATATTGGTGCCCACACTAGTCAACTTATATCTTAGCGACCTCTCCAAAAGTTGTTTAGTCCTCAATATCACTCCCCGAAATTGGCTAAAATCAATGTACCCCTGTTACTATATGAAGATAATGTAGTTCTCATGTCACTCTCAGATAATGTAGATAATGTAGTTCTCATGTCCTTAAATGAATCATACTTTTTGAGCTATTGCAAGAAAAACGTACTAACAATCAATTTTGACAATGAATCATACTTTCTAAGCTAATGCAGGAAAAACTTACTAACAATCAATTTTGACAAAACCAAAATAATGGTCTTGTCTAGACACAATAAAACCAAAGATTGGGTTACTGAGGACCAATGGATAGAACAGGTTTAAAAATTAAAATATTCAAGATTCAAAGAAATTTAGGATCTGAATAAAGCAATTACAAACAAAAGCCAACGCCCCCCCCAAATCAAAACATACTAAGCTGACTTGCCACATGGATGGGGTGCATCAACAGGTTCTCTGCTTAAGTAAGATTGCATTTCATCTGTCTCTATATCAGCAGAGCCTTCTAACATACCTATTAAATTCCACTTGAAAGAAAACATTACCTGTCCATGTCTGCTTCAAGCTGGCAGTGTGCAGCATATGCAATAATATTGTCTTGGCCACACTTCTCAGTAGTGAGGGCACTAACATATAGAATGAAGTCAGCATCTCGAACCCCTTCTTGGTCACCTTGTCCTGTAGGTCCACAATACCTTCCGTTTTCACTACAAACCCTACATTGCTAAGACATTAAAATAAATTATTTTGGAAACTAAGAAATTTTATCATAGTGTTCAAGCCAATGTAGAAAGACGTTTATATAAAATTCTGCACATTGTGATACCACAAAGAAGGATGGATAAAACACAGATACACAACTTGGAGGTCTTCCTGGATTAATCTCTGAGCCTGGATACCCAAGAGTGCCTTTGCACAGTTAAAACTAGTGCACCCACAGTGCCCATTCCTGGAGAGATCTGATTTGGTCACAGTGACACATGCCTTAGTTACATCTCATCTGGATTACTGCAATGCATTTATTCTATGTGGGGCCGCCTCTAGAAAATGTCAGGAAACTTCAGTGTATCCAAAATGTGGCAACCAGATTGCTAAATAGGGCTGGTCACAGGGATCGTGTAACACACTCACCCTGTTACAGTAGCTCCACTGGCTGCCAATCCATTTCCAGGCACAATTCAAAGTGCTGTTTCTAACCTATAAAACCCTAAACAGTTTGGATCCAAACTAACTCAAGGACCACATCTCCCTTTATGAGCCTGCTCAGGTGTTGAGATAATCAAGAGAGGCCTTCCTCTCGGTTCCAACCAGCTTCATAGATGTGTTTGGTGGGGACATTGGAGAGGGTCTTCTCTGTTGCTGCTCCCAGACTTTGTAATTCCCTCACACAAGAGGCTAGGCTGGCCCCATTTTTACTGTCTTTCCACAAACAGGAAAAGACCTTTCTCTTCAGGCAAGTCTTAGCTTAGTCACTGGCTGCCTCAGGGTTTTTTAGTGGATTGTTGTACCTTGAATGTTTTGGTGTTGCTTTTTTTGTATGGTACAGTGGGGGCTCTACTTAAGAACGTCCCTACTTAAGACCAATTCCACTTAAGAACAGCTCCATTTGCTAAATTTTGCTTCTACTTGAGAACAAAAATCCACGATAAAAACAGGAAAAAAAACTTTCCTGCTCTTTTTTTAACCTTAGGTCATCTTAGGTTAAAAAAAGTTCTCCCCCTAGTGGTAGAGTACGTATTAACCAGCTTTGCATTAGTTCCTATGGGAACTAATGCTTCAATGTACGAATGCACCTCTACATAACAAAAAAACAGCCAGAACAGATTAATTGGTTTTCAGTCCATTGCTTCAAAATTAGCTTCGTCAGAAGTGCTTTTAACACTGTTCCCTGACCTAAGGGGAAAAAAAGAAAAATATCCCCCTCTAGTGGTAGAAGGCGGAATAGCAGCTTCCCATTAGTTTCTATGGACGGAAAAGAGCAGATACAGATTAAATGGTTTTCAGTGCATTCCTATGGGAAATGCAGATTCTACATAAGAACTTTTCCACTTGAGAACCACCTTCCAATACGGATTAAGTTCTTAAGTAGAGACCCCACTGTATTTGTTTAATCCTTTTTAGTATCTGTATAGTAACAGTTGATAACTTCAAATACTGTCTTTTAATGATGTAAGTCACCTTGGGTCTTTTTTAAGGAGAAAGCTGGGGCAAAAATATTTTAAATAAATAAATAATGCCAAAACCACATGGACTGACCCCTCCTACAAAGCACAGTGGGGAACCAAACTATATACTTATACAAATCTTGTGTTATTGGTCACATCCAAAATTGTTCTATAAATTTCAAAAGAGAAGAGCATTCAAAATCCACAACATGTTTCATAACAACAATTTAGAAGGAAACACATTAAAACTGAAAATCATGTTTAAACTAGTTAAGATTCATCACTATAATGTACTATGAGTATCACTGAAGGACTCAGTCTCTCTGTATTAAAAACTGGAGTTTAGTTATTTCAGACCCACATTTGGTCACATCATTGCTCTCCATTCATCTAAAGTTTATTTTTCTCAGCTTCACATCATCCAATGCCACTAAATTATCTGCTCTGATACCAATCAGTCCACCTCTCTTCTCCAACTGGCACTAGTTTAGCTTGCAATGTTACACTAGGCCAAATAGTGAATATCCTATGTGAAATTAAATCTCCTCACTATGACAGTATTTTACATGCTTTCCATATTTCTTGCATTTGTTCAGGTGCTTTAGAGCTTATCTCTAGAATGCCTGCAAAATACAAGAAAGAGTTCTTATACATTTGCAGCTCTATTTACTTATTTAAGCATCTTTTCATTGCTTTGGACTGAATATTTCTGACATGTATACTGTCTAGGTATAATAAAATGTCAGCATACAGAGTATCAAGATCATTTACATACTGTAACAAAAATGACAATATTACCTGCAAATGCTCCTCAGGAACTATAACAGGACCACACCTTGTATGCTCAGCACAGGCTCCTTGGCAGTATCTGTGGGGATCATCCTTCTTCCTTAAATATCGATTTGTTACACACTGTCTTCAAGCAAATCATAATTATAAATTTACTAAAGAGATTAATAATTTCACACAGCAGAAAACTATAACAAGGATGTTTTGGCAGTTCAGTGCAATGCTCTTTTACTTATTTCATAATTTCAAAATTCACCACTTTTCATAATTCAGCCATACCTTTCACCACTCTATTAAAATACAGGAGATACCTCCCATAGTACAGAGCCCTATGAACTCAGCAAAAAATGTGTGCAATTTATGCAATTTATGTGATTAATTTCAGTTCAAATGGTGGGCTGAAGCTGCAAAAAAAGAGGGCTGTATGCTGTCCATAGGTTGCCCATTCCTGACTTACACAAATAGTGCTACAATCTGAGAAAAGCAGGGAGAGGAACAACGCTAAAACTACAGTTTTACAGATGATTATCGTTGGTTCTTATTATTACATTCCACTAAAGAGAGTACATACCTGCTTAATAAGACTGTACCAGTAGATTTTCGTACTTGAAATGTGTTTTCTAAATATGAAATAGCTTGTGGGAAAAGTTTATGCTAAAAGAAAAAAAATGTCTGTTAACACTGAATTCTAAAGATTGACATTCTTTAGCTCAGAACATTTGCTAGGCATCTTTTCTCTGCTTTGTGATAAGCAGGCTTTTTACAAAATGTTTCTGATTTTACTCTGTTAGTAGAATGGAAATAGGAATCTTTTCTTATTGGAAAATGTGTCTGTGATGGAACCCTCAGCCGTTTTACCAGACAACAACACAAATAAGTCATTTGGCCAAAGAATGCAGGAGAGACAATCCAGAAGAGCCAGCTGGAGGTATAAAAAACTGAAGAGAAGGAAAGAGGGTTAAATTGTATATTGATGAGGGAAGTTGTATTTTAAGAGTGGGCTACAACTTGAGATAATTACTTTGTATCTGATGAGTTTGGATATTTGAAAGCTAACATGTAACCCAGTGTAACATGAAGTTGAATTCTGTTTAGTTTCACCAGTTATGTTATAAGAAATAACGTTTTATGTTTATTCTTGAAACTGCTCAGGCTCATATGTGTTTAAGCTGAAGGCAAGCCTAGTAAAAGTAGTGCAGTTTAAATGTGAATAGCCTGGGGTAGAGGTCACCACAGTGTCAGTGTAAAATTTGTCCCTAATCTGGCCCAAAATCTATTTAATACTAGAACCCTGGTTTCTGTTAGCCACATTCAGCATTTACACAGATGTTAATGCTGCATCTCAATGTTGAAGTTGCCAAGAGAATATAAATGTGCATCAGAGTGTAGAGCAAGGAAAAAGAGATTGTGTAAACCTGTGTTAATCATGTTTATAAGAACCCACAACATTGAGTACTAAGCTTCAGAAGAAATTTGTTTGTTTATTGCATTTCTATGACACCTTTCTCCCAATTAAGGTGGCTCAACTGCAAATTTAATGAAAGTTCAGGAATTAAAGTCAGGAATTCCACTTGAAAGCATACATTACATAGACATCTGGATCAAAACAATTAAACAGAACCTCCATTCAACCATAATTACCACAGAAATTCAAGAAAGAAACACAGCATACCTTTATAAGGTGTTTTTTTTCAGGCAGTAATCTGTTTTAAAAAAGGAAATTAAGAAAGTGGGTATTCTTCTCGTTGCATGAAATACTATCTCATTTTCCAGCCAACCCCTTCCCTCAGAAACAACCAGTTACTTTATATTCACCTGCAGCCCACACCCCATAGGTTTTTGCTACCGGTTGTTTCTATTCCTCCAGCAAAGGAGGAGAGGAAAACAAAGGAGGAGAGAAAAACAAAGGAGATGAGGAAGAGAGCATAATGGTCCTATTACCAACTAATTCCCAGTCAAAATAAGAATTTCAGAACCCATAATACTTACTCCTCAACACTTCTGTCATATACAGTCCTAATTCTTAGATGCTCATTAACATGTCTCTTCTTAACATGATTTTCCTTAAGATAAACTTTGTAAATAACCTGAATAAAAAAGGGTACATTTTATAGCTTTTAGACTTCCACAAATGCAACAATACACCGAAAGGTACATACATCATTTCTCTCATGCAATAAAATGGGATTTTTATTCCCAAAGCCAGTTTCTGCAGCAGAATTCACACAAAATGACTTATAATATAGGTATCCTATAGCACTGTCACTTGAACACTTGTAAATGATGTCCTCCAATTTCAGATACTTGCTATGTTGTTGTTTTCTCCAAACAACAATGCTGGGACAATAAACACAACCCAAAAAAATTCATTCCTTTATTTCACTAAGACACTTTCATCCCAATCAAAATAACATATTGGAACAAAACAAATAAATGCTGTTTGTTGGTGTAACCATAATGTGGGAAAGCATAAGTATGTCCCCTGGTCCCCTGTAGATTGGCTTGGGGAGGGGGCAGGGAGGGCAGAGGAATTTACATTGGGGTCACAAAATACAAACAATATACATGAAACGTAATCCCAGTGTTAAACCTAAACCCTTATGTATGACATTCTTGCTGGAGACAAGAAATACCCCTCAGCTCATTCATTGCTTTCTTTAAAAAAAACCTTGGTGTATGAAGGTTAAAGGAATATTGTACATTTCCCTTGTGCTGCAATTTTTTTTGTTCAGACTATCATAGGTACCCAATAAGAGATATGCTAATTACCATATTTAATACACATTGTAAAGTGTTTTATAAATGCTTCAGTACTGTATGATCGTTCTTGCAGAAATCTTCTAAGAAAGCAGAATGGCCAAATCAATCTCTGATCTCAAGACTTTGTTCACTGGACAATATTGGCTGAATGGTACAAATGACCATCACAAGAACAGAGAGCAGCTGCACCCCTGCTTTCCTCTCCTCAGCTATTTCAGCCGCACAGCTTAACCGTCAAGCTTTATATTGTTCTAAAAAAATAAAAGCAGGGGCCAGAGTTTCTCCCACCTTCTGGGTATATTAGTTTGCTAGAAGGCAAAAACATCACTACATGTCAACAGGTTCTCTACCACCAATTAAGCCACTCTCATCAGCGCTCCAAGAAGTTATTTATTGTGTGTGTGGGGGGGGGAGCAGGGATCAAGCCGCTTCCGAGTTATGGCGACCCTGTGGCACAGTTTAAGACACGGTTATCCACTTCACACGATCAGAATGCTAGCATCAAACGTTCTACGAAGTCGGGTGGGAAACTTTTGTCAACACAACTACGATGCAAGCACAGAGACAGCGAGGCCCACTTTACAACACGTTAAGTAAATACGCGAGAGGGGAAAGGGTACAAGGAAAATACAGGAGAAGTCTTAAAGCAATTCCTTAGGGCTGGATCTCTGTTCAGCGCCGTCATTGCCCCGTTGGCGAATGGTTTATCAAGACCCTCACCTCCTTGGCGTTGGGAACGCGATGGTGACAGAGAGGAGAAGCGACAGCAGATGGTGGAGGAGAGCCGAGCAGAAGCAGCGCGGCAAAGGAAGAGAAGGAAACAGAGAGCAGCCGGGGTGGATGGAAAACACCCCAGCCCCGCGGCCCGGCCGCCATCTTGACGGCCTCCTTCACTACTGACGCGTCTCCAGGTTGAAACGACGCCAAGCCGCTCCTCTAAGCCAATGACCAAGCGCGGAACCCGGCAGGGCAAACTCCTATTGGGTGGGACGTCATCGGGGGGCGGAGTTTGGAGCCGGGCGCCGAAGGAAGGAAAGGGGCGGGGCTAGCAACGTCACGCCAGAACTCTCAGAGGGACATCTTCCCTTGTGATAGCCGGTGCGGTTGTTAGGGTGATGGATTCGGACCGAGGAGACTCATATGCGAGAGTCTCCTTCGGCCATGGAAGCTCACGGGGAAGAGCGGGACTTGTAGGGGAGTCTCGCTCCTATAACATTTTCGCTTACTTTGTTATGGTCGCTGTAAATCACGTGCGACTTGACAGAGCGTCTCTCTCTCTCTCACAAACACGTTATATTTGTGAAGTTCCTCAAACAGGAAAGAAGTGATCCCATAAGTCATGTGCGACTTGACAGAGCGACACGCACACACAGACGTTATATTTGTGAAGTTCCTCAAACAGGAAAGAAGTGATCCCACTCTGCAGCTTCAAGAGGCTAGGCGAGGGCATTGATCTTGCGGGATGGGAGAAGAGGGCAAGGTTTATGCTGGGGCCAGCTTTGTTGTAACCCGTCGTCAAATATTTTTGTGAATTAAGGTGACTCTATGAATGAATTTCCAGAGAAACAGCTGTTACAGTATTCTCTCTTGGGACTTTGCCAAAATTAAAGAGGAAAAATGGACAGGAGGGAAAGGAAAATAAATAACAGATTTATTTCAGTGTGACAGTTTGAGCTTTAGTGGATCAAAATTAACTTTTCACACTCAAATAAATCGGTTACTCTCAAAGTGTGTTTTAATTTTTTCCTGACATCTTCTGAATTAATGAGCTCTAAAAGGTCTTGTCATTAATGGAAACTGATGGTCAGGTCTACTTTTATTGAATCAATCAATCTCATGTTAGGTTTTCTGACTGCCTTCTGCTTGTCCTAGCATGATTATCTTTTCATAGACCTAAAGAAGTGGGTTATAGTTTTTGGTGCAATAGGCTAACTGAAAATATGGTGGTACTTTTAACAGATTTATTTCAGTGTGACAGTTTGAGCTTTGGTGGATCAAAATTAACTGTTTTCACACTCAAATAAATTGGTTACTCTCAAAGTGTGTTTTAATTTTTTCCCCGACATCTTCTGAATTAATGAACTCTAAAAGGTCTTTTCATTATTGGAAACTGATGGTCAGGTCTACTTTTATTGAATCAATCAATCTCATGTTAGGTTTTCTGACCGCCTTCTGCTTGTCCTAGCATGATTATCTTTTCATGGACCTAAAGAAGTGGGTTATAGTTTTTGGTGCAATAGGCTAACACGGCAACCTCCTTGTCTTCTCATGATAGGCCCAAAGTACGATTGCCTTAGTTTAGTCATTATGGCTTCTGGCGAGAGTTAAGGCTTGGTTTGATTTAGAACTCCTTATCGGTCTCTCTGGCACCCCATGATATTCAAGACACTCTTATCCAACACCACATTTCAAATGAATTAATTTTATTTTCCTTGTGATTGTCTTCACAGTCCAGCTTTCACATCTGTGCATAGCAATTTGGAATACCATAATCTGAATGATCTTGGCCTTCAGCGACACAACTTTACAGTTATGGATCTCGTCTACTTCTGTCATAGTTGTCCTTCTGAACTTCCTCTGATTTCATGGCTTGAGTCTCCATATTTATGGATGGAATTTGTGCCATCCACATATAAAAGCCACTCAACACATGAAATTACTCCTCTTTGGGTCCATTAGAAAGAAACCGAGCTTGGTGACAGACAACATTGGCAACTATAGGCCTATCGCCAATGTTTCTTTTCTTAGCAAGGGAGTTGAGAAGGTCGACCAGCTTCAGGCTCTCTTGGATGAAACCAATGCCCTGGATCCATTTTGGTTGGGCTTGAGGCTGTGCCACGGCATGAAAATGGCATTGGTTGCCCTGCTGGATGACCTACATAGGGAGGCTGATGGGCAAAATGTCCTTGCTCATCCTCCTTGATATCTCAGCCACCTTTGATACCGTCAACCACAGCATCCTCCTCGGGAGGCTCTCTGAGTTGGGGATTGGTGGCCTTGCTTTCGCTTGGCTCTGGTCCTTCTTAGAGGGCCATCCCCAGAGAGTTCAGCTTGGGGAGAATGTATCAGCCCTGAGGTCCCTCAGTTGTGGGGTCCCGCAGGGTTCGATAATCTTCCCAATGCTAACATCTATATGAGGCCATGTGTGGGGATGTCATCCGGGGATGTACAGCTTCATGTCACCAATATGCTGATGACACCCAGCTCTACATCTCCTTTTTTCTATCTGCAGTGGATGCCATTCCGTCCCTTGGGCACTACCTGCAGCCAACTCTGCAATGGATGCAGTCGAATGGACTAAGGTTGAACCTGGACAAGGCGGAGGTCCTGCGGGTGGGTGGCCCCAATGTCAGTGGTTTGGGGAACTCCCTCTCTTTTGGGGGGTGACTCTCACCACAATGAATTTAGTTTGCAGTCTGGGGGGTCTATCTTGACCCGGCGCTTTCCATGGAGACCCATGTAGCATCCGTGGTTCGGTCTGCCCATTTACATCTTCGGCGGATCACCCTGCTGCGTCGCTATCTAGGCACAAGTCCAATGACTCTCTCATTTTCAGGGCTACCTGCAACCTGCAAAGAAGATCAAAATCAAACTACAAAATCTGATAGTTTCACAGATGTTTTAGCATAGACAATTCAAGCCCTAATGCACTGGATTTAGGACCAACTCTTTCTTAAGCATACACTAGAAAATTTTATTTTATTTATTAGAGAATGCTTACTTTTATTTAAAAATAGGAAAAGAAAAATGGATTGCAAAAAAAAAATACTGATAAATAGAAAAATCAATTAATTCCAATGAATCCATTTACAGAACAAGTAAATGTTTGGTGAAACACACACACCAAAAACATAGCAGCTAGTTAGCCTGCACTGGAGAAATATCTGAGCCTCTGAGCTAGTGCAGAGTGCCATTTCCTACCAACAGCAAAACATGCTGAATCTCAAGGTGCACAATGCCCCTTTGCTCTAGGTTCTTGCTATTTTTGTATCTTTTCCAACCTTCCCTTTGTTTGACACCCATTAGCCAATCAAAATGGATTTTGCCTCAGAAGGAACACTGGAGGCAATCTTCCCTGCAAGTCTGCAATGATCAAAGTACAACTGCTAGCAGTTTACAACTTATCTTTGAAATGTAATACACTGACCTTGGGCACTTCCCTTATCTCTCCCCAGATGGCTGACAGTGTACCAAACTCCCCAGCATTACCCTCTCCTATCAGTTTCTTGGTGCTTAAGAGACCCTCTCTAGTTCTCTGACAAAGATGCCAGAGTTTACCCTCAGGTGTTGCTAGGTCACCAGTTGAATCTGCATTTGATGTTGCTAAAGCTGCAACTTCCAATTATCCATCAAATGTGTTTGGAAGATGTGGTGTTAAATTTTAATCATCCAGAAGCTGAATTCTGTCAATTACTTCCACTGGAAGTTTAGAAGCAGGCTTTGAAGTCAGATGGAAATGACAGAGGCTGTTTTCTCCACTGGCCAAGGCAAGATGGTGTCTTCCCCCATTCCACAGAAACCTATTGGGCAGCTGAACCACACTAAGCATCTTTTCATGTGCGTGAGGGTAGCAAGCTGGTATTTATGCAGGGCAGGCTGTGGGCCATATGTGGCACTGCCTTTAAAACACCTTTGCCATGGCTCCCCAGCACTGACACCTCAGTGTACCTAATAAATAAGTAATAGAACCGGGCAGAGCTTATTAGCCACTCTTTATCAGAACATTTGAACATACTACCTGATTACTTCTAGAGTAACACCTTATCATTTTACTTTTCAATATATTACTGTTTTGTTCTCAAAAATGAACTTTAAATGTAGATTACAAACCCAGATTCCCCCCCAAATTCGCCTTCCCAAAAGCAACATTTTACACCAGGATTTGGGAAGGTGCAGCTGTCCAGATGCTGTTCACTGCCATTTCTATCTGCCCTGGTCAGTGAGAAATGCTGGAAGCTGTGATCCAATGACATCTGGAGGGCTAAAGGCAGGGAAGGTGCAGCTGTCCAGATGCTGTTCACTGCCATTTCTATCAGCCCTGGTCAGTGAGAAATGCTGGAAGCTGTGATCCAATGACATCTGGAGGGCTGCACATCACCCACGATTGCTTTAGACAGAGGTTAGCCACACTGGCTCGGGAATTCTGGGAAGTATAGTCCAAAAAGTAACATTTCTAAGGTCTGGGAGAAAGAAGTAAACTTTATCCATTACAGTTAAATAATAAAAAACATGACATACATTAGTATTGTTTCACAAAACAAAAACATCTTTGACTAATCACTGCTTCTCTAGAATAAGAATACTTCCAGTTAGAGATGGGCACTTACCATGGTTCAGCACAGTTTTTCAGATCAGACCTACAGGTGTCTGTGTGGGTGCCCTGGATTCTGGCCCCCACTTTCTTCCACCTTTCTGCCAACTCAGAGGAGGAGGCAGGGCAGGGAAGCCTGCGGCACCCACACAATACTTTTGGGCTCCATCTGACAAACCACAGTAAGTGCCCATCTCTGCTTCCAACCTATGCAGTTGTTTCCGGAGAAGGCAGCAGCAGGAATATGGGGCACCCACACAGAAAAGGGGACCCACTTAGGACATATTGTCCTAGAGTCTCCCACAAACCTGAAGCTACAAGTATATGAGAAAAAGGGTGCTTCTCACTCGGAGCATTGCTAGCTATTTTCCTTCTGTAGCACCACTGGCGCACAGACACATTAACATCTTTTGCAAGACAGCAGAACAGAGTCACCTTTAATCTCTGTTTAGCAGGGTGCTTGGTGGTTATGTGTTGGGGCCCTGTTAACAAGAAGAAAAGGAGAAATGGATTAAGAATCAAGGCAATCAGAACCAACCTTATAATGCATCCTTAGGCAATGGCTCTTCAACTGTTCCACCAAGGACCTCTGTCTCTATCTTCTTTTGGAGAGCAGGGTTGCAGGTACCACGTTACAAGTCCTTCACCCTCAAACTAACCTGCTACCCTTAGGTGTGACGCAGGGCCCATTGAATCTGGATGGCTCTGTAAATGGAGATAGGCAGAGGAGTACCCTCTCGTCTTTTGCCTCAGGCAGCAAAAATATCTTGGACTTGGTTTGGAGAGAAAAGATGCAGAGTGGGAATTTTCACCTGCTCCCTACTTTATCTCTCTGACCTCCACTGCATCTGGATTCATTGGAATGCCAGTTCTCTATTGAGAGTCTGAACAGACCAGTTGTCCCACGGAAGATTCCAAGCTAATAATGATTGTTTGGAAATATGGAAAAAAGGGAGACCAGAAGACTTGAAGTTTCCTTGACATAAATGACATCACACAATAATGATTGAAAACTGTTCTAAATTAGGCACTCCAAACTATGACACCGCCATGTGATAAACAGAATGTAATCATCACCAACAACAAGCAGTCTAGTCAATCTGGACTTTGGGTGCCCCATCTCAGAGTTTTCTAGGTTAAAAAGAAAATACTCAAGAAGGTGTCTACCAGTCCCTTCTTCTGGGAGTATCCCAGGAATGTGCAGCTTGTCCAAGCCTGGCTCTTCCAGAATCTAGGAGGCACAGTGGGGAATTAAATTCCCAGCCTACAGCTCAAAAGCCAGGTACGCAACTCACTGAGCTATCCAACCAAATACCTTAACTAAACCACAGCTTTGGATTACTCTGTTCTCTGGTCCTCCATTTCATCAAAGTATTCAACTTTTTAATTCTTTCTTTCTTTATGAAATTTCTATATTGCCTGATTCAGTGAAAACTATGACTCTGGGCAGTTTACAGAAGAAACATAAAAGTATAAAAAATATTAATCCCACCAACCTCTACTCCACAGCAAATAGAGTCAAAACATAACCAAATTAATATAGCACATACGGTAAATTATAGATCATTAATAAATTTCAGGGAAGTATGTGGTTGAAAGCCTCTCTTGTACAGCTCTGCCTTCACCAATTTCCTGAAACTTTGGAGGGAGGGGGCCTGGCATTCCTCCATTGGAAGTCTATCCCACAAAGGTGGGGCCACCATGGGGAATGCCTATCTAGTGGTCACCCTGCTTATGAATATTTATGTTGATATTTCCATGCACCAATATGAGTTGGTAGGGGCGGAGTTAAGTGGGGGAAAGAAAAAGGGAGAGAGGGAAAAATGTAAGGGGTTGAGAGTGGACGAAGGAAGTTGTTTAGCTGACAGTTGATGACATTGACTGGACTTTTATAACTTGTAACAATAAACAAATTCTACTTGGTTCTTAAATGATACTTTCCCCAAATCTCTGTCATTAATAGTGAATAAAGCTGAATGACACGTAGCTTGTGCCTTTGCTTGGTGAAACAACCAAGGGACAGGCAGGAATGTGACAGCCTGCTTCACAGGATACATTTTTCTCACCTCTCTTGGTGTTCCCCACCCCAAGCAGCGATCCTGGGAGGACCAGGTGAAACAGGTAGCTGTTCTTTGAGAGAGGCTCTGACAGGTATCAAGGTCCAAAACTGTTATGGTTTTGACTGTACATATGTCAAAACCAGCACCTTCAATCTGCTACAGAAACTAACAGAGCCAATGCAAGCAAGCCAAGATCAGGGAGATATAGTCAAATTTACATGAGCTAGAAGTCAATCGGGCTGCCACACTTTAAACCTGCTGGAGTTTCCTTACTGTCTTCGCAGTCCCATGCAGAAAGCATTACAGTAAGCGATGTTTGACATTTAGGGCTGCCACACTTTAAACCTGCTGGAGTTTCCTTACTGTCTTCGAGGGCAGCCCCATGCAGAGAGCATTACAGTAAGCGATGTTTGACATTTACCCATGCATGAACCAATGTTGTCAGGGATCTCTCCTATCCATGATCTCTGACCTGAACCTGGTGACACTTTCTAAATAATGTATAATGCTCGCAATTTCCTGTTTTAGAGAAAGAATGCAATCTGGAATTAAAACACAAAAGAGGCTGCAACCCCAGCCCCCCAAAGTACTTAAAAAACATTGTTTGATTTGTCCCCGTCTCAATTCCACAGTACTTCCTCCAGAGGAAAGATTTGTTTTGGCTTCTCCCTTTTGACTCTTTTCAATACTCTTTTGGTACTTTCCTGTAGAGAAAAAAAAAGAACATTTAAGGGAAGAAAAACAGCATGGAAGCAATCGAACGGAGCATTTGAGCTAGTGAACATGTGATTTCTAAAACAAAAGGTGCCGGAACTAATCAAACGGCTGACATAGGAACACTCCTTCCCAAGCCCAGGTCGGTTTTATTGATTGATTGATTGATTGATTGATAGTATTAGTATAGAACTCCGCACCTACGCTGATGCCACCTTGAATCAGCGTAACTTCTTACATTTCAAAGCGCAGCTGCCACAAAGGCAACCGTTTCCGAGCCCTAATCTTGGTTCATACTAAGCAGGAAAAGGAATAAGGGATTCCTGTAGATATTTACTCAGAAGTAAGTCCTACTGCATTCAACGTGACCTTTATGTGTCCTCAAGCCGGAAGCGGCTTTTTAACGCCCCCTCATAGGGCTTTTCAAGGTAAGTGAGATACTGATTTTTATGTGTCCTCATGCCGTAAGCGGCTTTTTAACGCCCCCTAATAGGACTTTTCAAGGTAAGTGAGATATTTAAGGGATGGTTTGCCCATTCGAACCTAGATCTACCTGCGCCCCGGACTCCATCCACTACATTGCACCACACGGGCCCATGGCCTTTCTCCCCTCCCCTGAGTTTCTACGGCCAGCCGAGGATTCGAACCTACATCTACTTGCGCCCCAGACTCCATCCACTACATTGCACCACACGGGGTATCCTTCAGTGTGACTGACCCTCTGGTAGTTCAGAGTACGGTTCTTGTACCCAGCAAGGAAGGGAGGAGCCCTTTTCCGAGAAAAGAAAATCGAAAGTAAAAGGCTCCCTTCTTCTTCTCGCCATGCGCGCGGTTTCGATTTTGAGCTCGGCTATTCTCCCTCCAGGCAAAATGGCCGAGGGAGATGCCGCCTATAGTTACCCCTTAATTGTGGAGGGAGATTGGGGCGGCAAATTCGCCAAAAATCTGAAATACAAGCTCACGTCGTATTTTCAGAGTCGGAAGAGATCGGGCGGAGGAGAATGCAAAATAATCCACGCGGAAACCGGCCGGGAGAGCCAGATCACCGTGTACTTTGCTGAGGAAGACGGTGAGTGTGATACAGGCGGGATCATCATCCCAAATGGGCAGCTAATTCTTGGGGTAACCAAACCCTCTTGTGTGCTAGTGGCTTTCAGAGGGACCAGATCCGTCTGAGAGGGAGGGCGTGTTCCACGTCTACACAAAAGTAAAACTCGCTGAGTATAGGGCTTACTCCTAGCGGAGTACAGTACAGTATAGATTTTTCGACTTTGGAGATTGTGGTTGTCACCCTGTTGCAAACGATCGGGTTTTGTCTGTCTGGTCGGGGTTTTTTTTCCCCTGGTGCCCGGCCTTAGAAACAAAACGTGTGGAAAAGGAACAGATTTTGGGGGGGATCATGTATATACACTTCTGTAGGTTGCGTGCCCGCTATTTTTTTTAATGCCCTTTAAAACGGACACTCGGTTTACTCTTAATTGGAGAATTAGGAACGTTTCCCGGCGCACAGGATATGAATAGCAGTTTAGGAAAGGAAACTTCCAGCTCCAAACAAACAAAAACCCGCCCTCCGAACAGCAAACGTTTCCGTTTATAGGAAAGAGAAAGAGCAACGCACTCCCCCGGAATTGGTGAACAGAAGAGGTTTCGTTTAAGAGAAATGAGGAGGGCTGAGCCAGTATCAGCTGAAGATGTCAAGAGGGTGGCGGAGGGCGCGCGGGGCGGGGGGGGGGGGGAAGGGGAAGGGAAGATCGGGAATAAAAAAGAATCTAGAAATCTATTCTAGGTTTGGCTTTTCGTGGAAATGTTTAGATTTTCAGTTCCCGTTAGGTCCTGCCCTCCTGGCTTGTTTGGAAGGAGGGTGGGAGGAGGAGTTGGAGTTCATAAACTCATCTGAAATTCATTTCTTGTTATTACCTTATCTTCCAAGAAGCTGGTTACATCCAACAGAGGACAGCCAAGGTCTTTCGCTGACAGAGGAAGGGCACCCTGCCCGAAGTCACGGTGCCCACTTCTCAAGGCTGAGACCTCTCTGATCATAGACATCCTGGTTTTCAGTATCATAAATAGAAATCCTGGTTGATGTTTCTTTATGATACTCAGCTTTTGCAGTCTAAGGCAGTTGCATCCATCACTGCTTAATTGTAGGGCCAGTTCTGAGGTCCAGTGCATATTAGGAGCACTGTGCTGACCCAGCCACAAGCTGCCTTCTTTTGAGTGTGGAAATTATGACTGCAGTAAAGGTGATCTCCACTTCAGAAGAGAGGGGGGCAGCACAGGGCAGTCCCCTGCTCATGCCTAGGATAAAGGGAAGTAAGTAAGGCCTGAACAGAGATACTGTGTTTGTCTTTTAAGGGCTCTTACTCAATGTTTAAGATGTGTTTTTTCTTTGCTGGGGGGGCGGAGCTGGTAAACATAAATATGGATGCCACACAAAAGGATTAACCTCTTGCTAAACTTCTGTCTGGCCATGTTAAGCGCCCCAGGTTGGAGATGTCAACGTTATGGTCAGGACAGAGAGGTCCGCACAAACAATTCAGCCACACAACCCAGACTTTCCTGGTGTGGGTGACTTCCAGGAGGGCTAGGTGTGCTACTGACTGGGGGAAATCCATCTGGTCCCCTGGCAGTACTCAAAGTCTCCCTGACTGTACAGTGCTCCAGGGAGTTACCAAAATTGCACAAGGTTGCATGTGTTACCCTGCATGCCAACCCTGCAAGGTAAGAACGCTTAAAACAACAGCAAAATGCACAGGATCCAGTAGGGAATGAGATAAGGCCCTTCATTAGTGCCAATCAACTCTCTCTACCCAAAATAAGAAAAGTGCGCTGAAATTTTAATTATTTTATTAAAGATGGTTCAATAATTCAGAAAAGAAAAAGTGAAACAGTTTCAAAAAGGTCGTTCCAAAAAGTTCAGTAGCAGACCTTTTGAGTGTAATTCACCAACCCAGTCTTGAGCTGCCATGGATCTTTCAAACAGAGTAACTTTTTATAAAGCAAATATAAATTTTAAAAAAATTCAGAAGCAAGCCAATTCTAGAACAGTCGCCACAAAAACTTTTAAAAGCTCACTACCCTACACTACTTAATGAGACTGTAATTCCAGAACATGTGGAGAAAGTAAATCAAACAGCAAAATAGGAGGTGAATATAACATTCTCCTAAGAGAAGCTATGCCAAGATCCAGGTCTATAGAGCCTGTGTCCTGAGGATACTCCTGTACTGCAGTGAGTCCTGGAGCCATTGTGCATGGCAGGAGGGGAAGCTGAACATGTTCCGTATGCGTTGTCTCCGACTCATTTTTGGCATCACCTGGCAGGACAAGTGTCATCGAAGCAACCAACATGAATTTGACACAACTCCGGGAGGCAGTGGAAGATATGAGGGCCTGGTGTGCTCTGGTCCATAGGGTCATGAAGAGTCGGACACGACTAAACGATGACGACGGCAGGACAAAGTTCCAAATAGAGTAGTCCTAGAATGAGCTGGAATTTTTAGCATGTATACATTACTGGAACAGCCATGTCTACATTGGCTTGGGCATGTCGTGAGAATGGCTGACAGTCGGATTCCAAAAGATCTCTTGTATGGAGAATTAGTGGAGGGAAAGCGCCCCCGAGGGAGACCACAGCTGCAATACAAGGATATCTGCAAGCGGGATCTGAAGGCCTTAGAAATGGACCTCCAAAGATGGGAAACCTTGACATCTGAGCGTTCAGCCCATTGGCCTGTGGCATTCCTCAGGCTCCTGCTTTGTCACCCATGCTTTTTAACATCTACATGAAACCGCTGGGAGAGGCTGCCCGGAGTTTTGGGGTTCGGCGTCACCAGTATGTGGATGACACCCAACTCTTATCTGTCCTTTCCACCTAATTTCAGGGAAGCTGTCTTGACTCTAAACCAGTGCCTGGCATCAGTGATGGGCTGGATGAGGGCAAACAAGCTGAAACTTAATCCAGACAAGACAGAGGTGCTCCT